CAGCAGCAGGTCGGCTGTCCTGATGCGGACACAGGGCCCAGCCCTGGCGAGGGCATCGTCTGCAGGGCCAAGGCCAGGGAGCTCTGTCCTGGTGTGGGAGTGAGGGCCAGACGGGGGGCAGCCAAGTCACCCCGGAAAGCTCCTGCAGCCCCGGACCACATCCCCTCAGATGGGGGGGACGGGCTGGGGGGGAGGGGCTGTGCTGACCCTGGGGGAGCAGCCTGTCCTGCGGGGGCGGGCTGGAAGGGGTCTCTCCAGGCACATTCCAAGGCACCCACACCTGGAGGAAGCACCTGGGCCCCGCGTACAGCTGTTGTCACAGCAGAACTCTTAACAGCACCCCTTTCACACCCCTCCCAGCGTCCCAAGGGGAGGTAAATTACATGCTAGGCCACCCCTGCAGAGACCACTGCAGCTAGCTGTGGTGCCTACACCCCCTCTGTCAGCTCTGATGTGGGTACAAACAATCTGCCTCTGATCAACAGAGACAGCGAAGCATGTACACGATTTACTCTTAAAAACAACAGGAGCCCTCTCGGCCACCCCTGGACCCTGGTGCTGGCTCTGCGGCTTCCGGCCCGGGGCGGGCATGGGGCTGGAGCCACACAGAGAGTCTCGTCTCTGGTGGTGCAGTGTCTGTGCCTGTGACAGACTGCGCCGCGTCTGCTCCCCAGAGCATCTTCTTCTTCCTCAAGGTCAGGTATGAGCCAGGACGTCCCAAAGGGAAACGGACATCAGCCACGGGACGCAGCACACGAAGCTCATTAAAATCAGTACATGTCCTTGAAACCCACAGTGTCCAGCACCGCACTGGGTGTGGGCACGGAGGCAGGCTGGTGCTGAGTCCTGCTCTGCTACCCAGGGTGCAGCGCACGCCGGGGGACACGAGGGCGCTTCAGGATGCGCTGAGGGAAGGGTGACGCCCAAACGGTGGCACAGGCCTGGAGCCGTGCTAAGGGATGCACAAGACGCGCGTGGGCACTCAGCCACCTGTCCACTGCGGCCCACGGGGGACACCTGGCAATGTCTGGAAATGGTGCTACCGACCCCTGGCAGACAGGGCAGCAGCACTGCTGGGCATCCGACAGTACGCGGGGCAGCCCCAGCGTCTGCAGCCCTGAGCCGGAGCAGGCAGGGCAGAGAGCGGAAGGGGCTGGGCAGCCACACTTGACAAGGGCTACCCAGGCCCTTCAGGAAGCCCTGGCCCAGAAGGACAGATCACCGGGAAGGGCTGGGGCCCAGAGCACACCGGCCAGGCGGGCCTCCCCCGTCAGGCAAAGAGCGACAGCTCCTCCGGACAGAGCCTGAGTGCCGAGTGCTGGTGTGCCAGTGTGGCAGGCAGAGGCAGGCAGGGGGTGTGGCTGCTGTTGCTGCACCGTGTACCTGGCCCACAGATTCAGGATGCTCTAAGGGAAGGTGACTTTTGGGTCCCTGGCCCAAAGCCAAGAGGGACCACCTACTGACAAGTGGAGCCCCTGAGGGCAGAGGCCAAGGCACGGGGAAGGGGTCACAGCCTCACACCGGCACTGGAGGGGTGGCCTCCCTCACAGAGCCGGGAAAGAGCACATCAAGAAGTCCCTGTTCGGGGCTGGGGATTTAGCTCAGCGGCACAGTGCCTGCCTGGCAAGCGTGAGCTCGGGAGTTCGATTCCCGGTACCGGAAAAAAACCAAAACAAAAAAGAAGTCCCGGTTCCCTATGGGGGTCTGCGCAGGACGTCACTCAGAAGTTGCCTGCTGGGCTGGGCCCAGGCTCCTGGAACTTCGAGAGCATATGGGCCACACACAGAGACCTAGGCTCATGGCTTTGCTAGCATCTTGACCTCCCCGCTGTTACCCCATTTCCTTTACACACATATACATGCCGTGCAAGGTCAGACTGCCCACTGGCTTTCCAAGAACATGCACGGTAATGCCTGGCACGCAGCAGGACTTAATAGCTAACACGAGAGCCAGGCGGCGGAAGAGAAGTGCACGGGAGCAGAGGAGGGGCCAGGACGGAAGCAAGGGAGCCCCGAGGTCAATGTCAGGGACAGCAGGGCCACCATGAGAAACCCCCAAAGGTCCAACTACAGAGGGCTGGGAAGAGCCCCTGGAGGCCTCAGGACCATGGGATCTGCGAGGCGCTGGACACGCCGAGGGGGTAGCCCATGCAGCAAAGGCTGTGGAAGCCTTCCCCCAGTAATAGCTCCAGAGGGGTGCGCAGAGCCAGAAACGGGGTCTGAGCCAGAGACGGGGTCCCCAGCCAGACAGCCCACTGGGCCCTCTCCAGCCCCCATCACCCTGAGCTTTTCCAGAACCACACACAGCCGCTCTCCACCTGGCACCCCCCAGACATCGCTGATCTGCCATGAGCTAAGCTGAGCCCTTGTCCCCCACACCCCTCACCTCTTCCAGTGTCCCATTTACCCCGGGGCCAGGCCCTCCCACTGGACTCAGGCCCCCACCAGAGTTGGCCGTGGCACTGCAGTCCCTCCAGATTCTCCCTGACCACTCCTCCCACCTCCACGGCTCCACTCTGGTGCCAGCCACCACCGGGCCTCGGCTGCCAGGCTGCTCTCCAAGTTACGGAACTGTGAGCCCAAAACATCTCTTTACATACTCCGGTTTCTCTTCAGATCATATAAATCTTTCTCCTTTTACAAAAAACCTCTTTACTTATGAAGTATCCCACTTAGGGTATCTTGTTATAGTAACACAAAATGGGCTAATACACCCCTCCAGCCCCATTTTCCAAGGGGGATAATACGAGTATTTGCATGAAGACTCCGCGACACACTGTGTGAAACACACCCTGCACGATGTCTAACCACGCAAGTCAGGTCGAATATCAGCGCTTCTTAAAATTTCACAACTATTCCGCAAGTGTCTTCGCAGGTACAGCCTCTCCACTGCTCCTGCGGCGCCTCCCCTCCCAGCACGTTACGGAGCCCACCTGGCTTCGCCTGCCTCCAGGCGCTGCTGTGGCTCCCCAGGGAGCAGCCCACTGAAGCACAGCGTGTGGTCCCTTTCCTCACTCTGAAAAGACTCCGCAGGGCTCACTCTCTTTCCCACTAATGACCACAAGCTGTTCCGATGCATAATTTTTTCAAAAGGAAGCAAATCAAAAACATATGACCAAGAAGAGAAAACTGCTTATGCCAAACACAGATGCAACACGCCTCTCTAAATCTTACTGCATCTGTGCATCTAAAGCCTCGGCTGTTCTGGACATCGTGATAGGCCGTGATGCAGCTTCAATGTGAAGTATGCAAAAATTCACTGCTGGAAGGACTGTCAGGAAACCAGCAGGGGGGCTTGTGCTTGAATAAAAGTGATCCCAGGACCACAGTGCGTGGGCCAGCACAGCCCACGGTACTGAGAGACGTGTGTGCTCGTGAACTGTGGGGCCAGGCCAGCAGGGAGCCAGAGAGGGAAGATTCCAGCCAGCTGTGGGAGCCCCAAGCAGGGCAATACTTGTGGCCAGGAAACAGCACGCACACCCCTAACACCCCCACTAGTTAGGACCACAGTGGTCTGTTAGCTGGGATCAACAGCCTTCCTTTCTTTTTTGGGTGGGTTGTTTTTTGCTTTTTGTTTTGTTTTTTGAGACAGGGTCTCAGTATACAGTTCAGGCTGGCCTTGAACTCACTATGTAGTCTAGGCCAAACTCCTACTCACAGTGATCCTCCTGCCTCAGCCTCCCAAGTGCTGGGATTACAGGCGTGCGCCACCATGCCTGGCTCAAAAGCTTTTCTAATACCCTGCATTCTTTTCCTGTGGCTGCTATAACAAATTACCACACGCTTAGTGGCCTAGAACCACAGACAGGCATTCTCACAGTTACAGCAGCCAGAGCCTGGAGTCAGGGTCTTCGCCCTCAGCGTCCGCACCTAGGGCACCGGCTCTGCTCGCACAGGGAGTGGGGCGCAGGGGCACGGCCGAGGGCGCCCACCCTGGCTGGCGAGACAGAGTCAGAGCAGGGCCAGGTCCGGCCGAGGCCTCTCAGGAGCAGGTCCACATATGCAGCAAGGACAGCTCATTCAAGACGGGGCTGCTGTGGAGTGAGCTGCCCGCCCCCGCCCCCGCCTCCCTCACCAGATGGAGAAAAGACCGGAGTCATAAACCAGATGAAAACATGCTCTGTTCCGCCCTGGGACCAAGGGCTCGCGTTAAATGAAAACAGATAGGAACAGTGTGCTGCTGACACAGATCTTGGCCTTCTGCAGATCAGCCTCAAGGGCAGTCACCGGGTGTCCCAGGCTCCGCATCAGCAAGCCCCAGCACACGGAGCCCCGGGACTGCCACACCGCGAGGGGCGCAGCAAAGAGCCCTGGCAAACAGCCCTGGCCACCGTCCACAGACACCCACAGCAGAGGGCCAGAGACCCAGGCACTTCGTCTGAAGTCCTGATGGGGCCGAGGGGGTCTCAGAGAAAGGCTGCGCAGGAGCCGATGGCCCGGCCCTTCTCCAACCCGCCTCCAAGGGCCCGAGCCCACTGCCCCCCGCGAAGCCCCAGGCCTCCACGAGTCCCCTGCGACCAGACTGAGCTGGTGCCTGTCTGTCCTCGGACTCAGGCCCCGTGGGCCTCTTCCTGCCCCCCAGCAGTGCCCGAGCTCCTCTGCAGAGGGCCCCGGGCAGACAAAGAACAACGCACATCAGGGGCTGGGAGTTCATACAAAATGACTTACGTGTGACAGGGCCACGGGGAAGAGGCCCCACAAGCCAGGCAATCGGCTTCATGAACAAAAGGCTCCCCATGAGAGGGCCCGGTACTGGGAGTCCGTACCCTGGGACAGCCTTCCTCTCAGGCTGGCAACACCAGGAGCGCCAACCCTGCCGCTGCCGAGACCACCCGACACCAGCCCGGGCAGCCTGCTGGTGCCTCCGTGGAAGCAAGGAAGGGGATGGTGATGGGCGCAAGAGGGCAGGGCAGAGCGGAGAACCCACCCGGCCGTCTGTCTGGACAGCAGCAAGGCCCCCACGCCAGGTTCACCTGCTGTGTCAGGTGCAAGAGTACTTACCACATTCCAGAAGAACGGGTTGAAAGCGATGGTGAGGACGGCCGCCACGACGCTCGGATCCAAAGGGTTCGTGTACTGCAGCAGCCAGGTCATGATGCACAGGTCTGCCTGCAAGGAGGAGCCGCGTCAGCCGGGGGCCGCCCAGTGCCGCCCGCAGCAGCCAGGGCTGGCCCCAATCGTGGAGACAAAGTTACCCCCCAGGAACACGCCAGGAGGCTCGGGAACATCCACACGCAGCCAAGGTTACCACACTGCAGTCACTAAATGGAGATGAAAAGCAAACCCAGTCAGCTGTGTCGCGCCCTGGCAGGAGGGCAGCTGGGCTGGCCGCTGCAGAGGCGGGCATGGCACTGGGCAAGGAGCTCAGCAGCTCTGAAGATGGGCATCTTGTACCCGCCAAGGGACACGCACCAGGCCTGGCAGGACTGGGGCCCACAGGACAAGGGCCTCAGAGGCCAAAGAAAACTCAGGAGACCAAAGCACCTGTGCAGAGATACTCGGCCTCACCAAAAATCAGGTAAAAGCAAATTACAATAGCAACACACCTCTTCCCACCAGAACGTAACACGGGGCCATCCGGGGTGTCGCTGAGCACGTGGACATGTGTGCACAGCCCAGGGACCCCACACAGCACACGCGAGCACATGCACCCCCGCTTCTGCCAGCCTGCAGCAAAACGGTCAGGAACAATCAGAACCACGGTGGGCCGAGGCGAGGTCACTGGTAGACGCT